GCCCGGCACGCGTCCGCCCTGCTGGGTGACCGGGGGGGAGCTACCCTGCCGCCCACTCGTCCTCCCAGGCCCCGCACTGGGACCTCGGGGCTTCAGTCGGGCGGTTTTCTTTAAGGCGCGCTGGGGAGCGCAGAAGGACGTCCTTTGAGGGCAGCGCTGTTGCAGTTACACCTGAGGCAAACACTGCAAAACACAGCAATAAAAGGGGGCTTGTGCAGGTGTCTCCTTCGAAGGACTTGAGGCGCTGCCTGGGTGAGATGCTGCACCAGTGTTAACCCTGGTCCAGCTGGTTTCATCATCTCTGCGATTTCCATCCCCCAGAGCGAGGCACAGAGGTGGTGCCTGGCTGAACGCGTGTAGGCAGTCACGTTGATGCAAGCAGAGCTTGTAAAATGCGTGGCATAACTTTGTCAGGTGGCTGCCGGGATGGGACTTGATCTAACTTCAGATGTCTGCAGTGTAGACGTTTGTATCTGAGCTAGGTCGTTAGACTTCCTTGACAGCAGCTGAAGGAAGAGGCACGTCTGGAGAATGGTCCTCATCTGAAAGCAGACTCCTGAAAGTAGCTGAGTTGCGTTTTAGATATGCTTCTATCTCTTGCTAACAATATAAAAGCCAAGATGACTAGCTTAGATGCACGCACCTGCACTTTCAGTGTCTGTCGATTTAAGGGAGATGAATTTCACTGCAGAAGCTTTGAAATCAGTGGTTTATCTCGAGCTCTTCAGTTTTAGCATAGATATATCTTCGCTGTCTTTTTTTTTTTGTTTGTTTTCATTTTTGTTACCTTCCTTGCCAGTAAAAACTTGGGGGAAAAAACACATTCCCTGCCAATTTATCCTCCAGCACCGGGAAAATAGCCAGTTCCTTGGTATTGTTTAACCATGTGTTGGGTGTGTAACAGCATTACTGATTATTTCAGTTTGTGTTTTAGGTGATTCGGTGACCACCAGCTGATTCCTGCAGAGCACCAGGCCTCACAGGTCACTTGAATTGTTTACCCAAGACAGCAACATTGAAACATTAACAAAAATTATAGTTTAAATTTACCTCCCCAACAATCATTCAAATCCTTTTTTTTTTTTTTTTTAATTCTAGGTAAATGCAAGAACTGCAGAAATCCTTCCTCAGAAACCTCATAGACTGGGCCAGTGCTGCTCAGACCTCATACTAGAAGTTTGGAGATGGCCCTGCCTCCTGCATGCTTTCAATATCAGAACAATGTTTCTGTTCCTTTAGTTGCAAAGGAACAGTAGGAAGCTCAGAACAATAACACCAGGCTCTGTCTACAAACAGAAAAAAGGTGGCTAGTGTCTCTCTGCTCATCTCAGAGAGGTTTAAAATCTAAAGCTTAATGAAGGCAATTTAAGTAGTAACAGCATTACCCATTCCAAAGTAGAAACATTCTGATATTCCAAAATGATCTGTCATAAGGAATGTATTCTCTCCCTCTTTGTGATTAGAATAATTTGGTGTGTGTTATGCTTTTTATCTTTTCTTAAGGCTTTGAAACCTGCCTTACAGAGATCAGAGCTTCTCTCTCTCTCAAGGGTTTCAACCTAAATGACTGTCTGGTGGAAATTAGGCTTAGTTCCAGAAAGCCTCTATTAGCAGGTTTCTGAGGAGAGAATGTAGGTTCTTATGGCATGTACCCAGATAGAAATTTCATGCTGCTGGAAGCATAAGGTATCTCTCTGTACCCTTACAGTGATAATGTTTTCAGCTCCCTAGAGGCAGTTCAGTTTCACAGCATTCCTTCTCCTGCTTAGTCCGTTTAGAGTCTGATCCTCTAGAGAATTTACAGTGACCATTGAATTCCCTGGGAGTTGAACTCTTGCGGGATCCGGCTCTGAAGAAGACAAGTCACACTGACTTTAAAGCAGATTGACTGTTTGTTTTAAATTAGAAATCTTTTAAGCTAGAGGTCTTAAGCTAAAAGCTTAAGCTAAAAGTCTTAAGAACTCAGCTTCTGCCACTTAGGAAGCTTAGACTGTGGAATACTAGTCACAGATCCGTTACTGAGTTGAGAGGCAATATGTACAGTCAAATGTTGTTCTGATTTTTTTTCCTCTCACATCATTTCATAACAATATTCTCTTCCTTCATGCCGCTTTTCTATTGACAAAAAGTCTAGTATCCCCTGGAGTGATGAAAGCAACAGTCACTGAACTGCATCAACACATGGCAGTTCTTTCCATTTTTAATGAAATATATGACAGCAAAAGGACCAGTAACGTACCTAAATAAACCACATTCATAGACCAAAGGAATAAGACATTGTTAAGCACTAGATTTAATACACAGCAGGTATCCCAATGGATACAACAGAAAAATTAATTCATTCAGAATTGTAAGGAAGCAACAATTGTGCATTATTATTTTTTTGCTTGGTTTCACCATGTACAAGCATTTGAACCAGGCTTCTCAACATCAGGCAGATCAATGGACAGAGTAAAAGCAGAAACTTGCTCATTATAACTGAGATTATTTTCTTTAAGCAAAACAAGGAAATACATATTTGGTTAGCTTTAAAACTTTTTTTTTTTTTTAACAAGAAAGGAAGCAGAGAGAATCAGTGAAAATTATTTGAAATCAAAATATAGTCTGTTGAATCGAAGTG